ATATGTGTGTGTGTGTGTGTGTGTGTGTGTGTGTGTGTCAATATGTAATTATATATAATTAATTTTTATTTATTTTAATAAAAAATTGTAAAGATTGGTTACCATGATTTACTGTAGGCTGCTCCCTGGAGAGATACAGAGAGCAACTGGAGAGTTACATGCAGTACAGTATATTAGCTCACAGACTTCCGTTAGAAGAAAATTATTATTATTTTTTTTTTTACAAACTTCGGGACAAGATAAAATTACATTGTGGTAATCGACAGTAAGAACCCAGAACATTCTTTTTAGGGGTGTACCTTTGAAAAACAGGCCAGTAAAAAAAAAAAAGGGGATAGTTCACCAAAAAATGAAAATTGTCATTAATTACTCACCCTCATGTCATTCCAAACCTTTAAGACCTTTAAATTCATCTTTGGAACACAAATTAAGATATTTTTGATGAAATCCGAGAGCTTTCTGAACGGTTTCTGAAAGGTAGTAAGGATATTTTTCAGACATGAGCAGACCCGTACTCACGTAATTAACGTTATGCATTTAACAAACACTTACAAGCGCGCACTTTGGCAGAATTCAATTCAAATAGTCATCAGCAGCCATTAGTTCGGTAAAATTGAGCATCAGAATGGACAAATCTGTTATTAAGGGAGAAAAACGAAATGTGGAAAATGCCAGCGAAGGAACACATACAAACAAGAGTAGTCGCAGTATCAGCAGTGAAGGTAAGAGAGTGCTGGACTTTCGGCATCAACTTTCGGTTTGCCCCACCACTCACTTGAAGATGTTCAGGCAAAAGGAAACACCCACACTATGCAGCAATCATCCTTAATTGCAGAAATGTGGAGAGAACCTCAGATTATTAAATTCGAAAGTGCTTTCCATATTTGGATCAACATAGGCTACATTTGTAAGCTCACATTTTCTGCAATGTCGCGTGTCAAGTCACGCTTCCGTGCTCGACTTACAGACTGCAACTTACAATCGCAATTTCACTGTGCTGTTACTCCTTTCGAGCCGAATATCACAAAATTGGTCAGCTCCCGACAGTATCAGGTGTTTTATCAATGTGAGTAGAATTATTTATTTATATCAATGAATGTAATCGATTAGATGTTATAATATTTAGGCTATAATATTATAAATCGGGTTGGTTTGTATTGGTGACGTAATATGTAAATGATATGCGTGCGGCTCGTGAGACTTGTACTTGGACCATAGTGCGGCCCAGTGGAAAAAAAGGTTGAGAACCACTGCTTTAAGTACTTGTTTTCAGAATGACTAGTAATAGCATGTTATGTTTGACTTGTGCCACTGCAATGTGAATTTTAAATTTCAGAATGTTAGTGTTTATCTGAGCTGAGTGTTCTACTGTAAGTGTTCTACAGCTCACTTTAGGCTCGCTCTGCTCCTCAGCATGCTCTGGACCTGCAGCTGGCGGTTGCTAACATCCTGCAGCTGCTAGTGCATTCAGAGAGGAACCAGCAGATCCTGTGTGAGGCGGGTCTGCACTCACGTTTGCTTCAGCGCTGTAGCTGCGCTTTGGGAGACGAAGATCACCCACTCCACCCACCTCTGCAGAGGATGTTTGAGCGACTGGCCTCCCAGGCCCTAGAGCCGATGGTGCTCAGGTGAGTCCAGTTTGCTCCAAAAATGTTTAGATGGAGACTGGAAAATATATTATATTATATTCAATTATATTGTATAATATTATGAGGACAGAGAGGGCCTCCTCGCTGGTAATGTACAATATACTGTATACATTACAGTACACAACTGTGATACAGTACAGATTAGTGAGCCAGCTCTTTGTCCATTACATCTCAAAGACTCAGCGATATTTATTGAAGTGATTAATATTTAAGAATAATACCTTAACGGAACATGTTTCTGCCCCCAACCTTCTGTTGATTGGTCTCCTACATGTGAGCTCTTTTGAACTGATTTTTGTTTATACAAAGACCAGATTAAGAGTCAGTTAAAATCTGTTTTGCTCCTGGGGCTCCTGCACGTTTCAGTCTTTACTGATTTGATCTTATCACAGCTGCATGTTTGCATAAAAGGAAAATAATCAAATTTGACAATATCTCACAATTATTCAAAGCTCTATGGGTTGTCTCTAAGTCCAACGGATTAGCGATTTCAGTTTTCCGCATGGCTGGTCTAACGTGATGGAGGATGCTTCACTACAAAATAATAATAAAAAATAAAAAAAGCAATGCACTTCAGCTCATTTGAGAAATCAAAATCTGTCTGATATTGTTTAAATCTCATGCGACTGCATTCTGGATCATAGTTCTTTAAGTGATTAATATATATGATTATTTTCTTATTATTTATAATAATAAAATAATAATAATAATAATTTAGCATATATTGCAATAATTACGATTATTATACAGTAATTATATATTTTATTAATTGCATTTATCTAATGTTTATTTTTATCAGTTGAAGTGGTTGTCTTCTGGATTTCCTAATGTGTTGTGATAATGCTCGAAGAGCAAGCAATTGCTCATTGTGTGGGATATTACTATCTCTAATAAATGGTTTTTATGCATTTTTCAGGGAATTTTTACGACTTGGGAATCCTCTGAATTGCGGTGCCTGGGACAAAAAGCTCCTGAAGCAGTATCGGGTCCACAAGCCTAGCTCCCTAAGCTATGAAGCTGAAATGCGCAGTAAGGAAAAAAATGAATGCATAAAGACTGCTAGAGCTGTCACTGTGCTTTTGTGCCATCCCGTAAACAGTTTGTGTCAGTGTTATGTGGTCTTGTCTCTGTGGTTTCTCTGTGGGCCAGTGAAAGAAGGGACATTACTTCAGGCTTCACTGACTGTGGTCTTTGGTGAAATGCCATCAATCACCATCAGAATCAAACAAAACATTCTCCTTTCGCCCTCCACGGCTCTGCCAGCAAAGAGACGTTCAATTGGACAGGGTTTTGCTGGAGATGAGTTCCCAGCTTCCCTAATTACCAGTGAAATTACTTTTCTCCGAGCTCTCACCGTGTCCAGCGAGTCCTTTTTGAACTTGCTAATTTAAAGGTTTCCTGCTTGCTTAGTAGAAAGCCTCAGTGGAATTGTGCAGTCATTCCAGGGTCCAGTGCAAGCAGATATTTTTGTTGGTTATACCCACAACAGATTACCTCAGAATGAGGATATTTAAGAGAACTGTAATTTAAAAAGAATGAAAGGAATTTACCAGACAGGAAATTTCCTTTGCTTTTATAGTGTCAGATTTACAACATTCAACATCCACCTGTTATTTATTCCTTTAGCACACTGATGGTTACACTGCTTTACTCTTTACACAGCAGCATTTTATATATGAATTATTTTGGCCTGAAATGGCCAATAATAATATATTATTTGATAAATAATAAGTGTGTCTGTGTGTGTGTGAATACAGTGTGTATATATATATATATATATATATATATATAC